TGTCACAGGACGTCCAATTCTATTTGTCAAGTACGTCAGATGTTCCCACCTCAATATCTTTAAACTTACTCACCCAACGATGCACTGTACTCATATCAACACAATAACCATAAACAGCTTGTATTCTCTGATTAATTTCCTTTGGGGTGACACCTTCTGCTGTCAAGAATTCAATGACTGCACGTTGCTTAAGTCACATTGACTGACCATTTGTACAGGGTTCCATACTTTGCACTTTAACAACACAACCGTTCAATGCTAAGTCTTCCCACCAAAATGGAACTGTAGAGGATAATCTACTGAACAAGCCAGTACCTGCCGCATACCAGTACTGCCATCGGTTGAGGAGTTACAAAGGTGGAGGCATTACTTTTCATTCAACCCTCGTACATAATGGGACCAAGTCTAGATACAAAATTGATTGGTTTCATATGCACCTTATACACATCGTCTGAAGGTAATTTTATACACATTTTAAATAATTTTGTGAAAAACAAAGTTTGTGTACATTAAACCTCCAGTAAGCAACAGTATTATTATCTCAGCCATCCATGTGGATGATTTCGGAGATTTCTGAATAAGGGATGCTTAATCTGTACTGCCAGAATTTATTTGGTGAAAGGGCAAACATATGAGTCACCAAAACATTAAGAACTGAAGTCAGGCCAGAGATAAATATTTGTTATTCGGTCTCCAACAGTTTATAAGGACTTTTGTCCTAAACTTTCCTGTTTATATTCCATTTGCATATGATGAATTGCAGTGCTGCATAAACATCCATCACTTGAGGCAGATACTTCACTTTGCCTAAGGTGAGGACCACCCTGGCAAAATAGTATCACAACCATTGCATCTGTGCATATGTGTGTGTTGTGTGTGTGTGTGTATACGTATACAATATGTGTGCATATATGTATACACACATTCATAAACAAAACTCTATAGTAAATAGAATTTTTAAAGTTGTTGTACTTTTAAAACTCTATTAAGAATTTCAAAAACAAATTACGACACTTTTGTATATAGTAATCTTTGTTTGCAGTGCAAAGGAACTTTTTAATGCCAACATAGCAAAAAAAGAAGTTTTTGGTTGAGAACGTAGCCACTGATGCACCACTGTTTTCTCATCATCATCACATGAAAATCTTCTTTGCCTTAAAGCAGTGTTTCTCAACCTGGGGGTCGGGACCCCTGGGGAGGTCGCGAGGGGGTGTCAGAGGGGTCACCAATGACCATCAGAAAACACAGTATTTTCTGTTGGTCATGGGGGTTTTGTGTGGGAAGTTTGACCCAATTCTATCATTAGTGGGGTCCAGAATGCTCTTGGGTTGTAGGTGAACTATAAATCCCATAACTACAACTCCCAAATGTCAAGGTCTGTTTTTCCCAAACTCCACCAGTGTTCACATTTGGGCATATTGAGTATTCTTGCCAAGTTTGGTCAAGATGCATCATGGTTTGCACAGTGCTCTCTGGATGTAGGTGAACTGCAACTCCAAAACTCAAGGTCAATGCCCACCAAACCCTTCCAGTGTTTTCGGTTAGTCATGAGAGTTCTGTGTGCCAAGTTTGGTTTAATTCCATCATTGGTTCATAATGCTCTTTGATTGTTAGGTGAACTATAAATCCCAGCAACTACAACTCCCAAATGTCAAGGTCTATTTTCTCCAAACTCCACGAGTGTTCGCATTTGGGCATATTGAGTATTCGTGCCAAGTTTGGTCCATATCCATCATTGGGTGAGTCTACAGTGCTCTCCGGATGTAGGTGAACTACAACTCCAAAATTCAAGGTCTATGCCCACCAAACCCTTCCAGTATTTTACTGTTGGTCATGGGAGTTCTGTGTGTCAAGTTTGGTTCAATTCCATCATTGGTGGAGTTCAGAATGCTCTTTGATTGTAGGTTAACTATAAATCCCAGCAACTACAACTCCCAAATGACAAAATCAATCCTCCCAACCCCTTTGGGTGAATTGGGCATTTGTGCCAAATTTGGTTCAGTGAATGAAAATACATCCTGCATATCCAGAGGCGGCCCTAGGTAATTTTCAATGGTAAGCAAACAGTATTTTGGCGCCCCCCCCCCCCCAACCAATTATTGATATATATTTTCTGTTTGTCGTGGGAGTTCTGTGTGCCATATTTGGTTCAATTCCATCATTGGTGGAGTTCAGAATGCTCTTTGATTGTAGATGAACTATACCTCCCAGTAACTACAACTCGCATATATCAAAGTCTATTTTCCCCCAAAAGCGCCTCAAGAGTGCCCCTGGGCACAATCAACTATACTGCAAGTGCTTACTTTGCGTAATAGGTTGCTGAGGCTTTCCCCGGACTGCTAAGGCTGTTGTGAGCCAAAGGGGCACTCCTCAAGTGGTGGTCGAGGGGCATTTACAGAGGCGCCTCTGCGCCCCTGGCAAAAAAAAAGTGTACTGCGACCGCTTACTTTGCGTAATGGATGAGCCGCCCCTGTGCATATCTGATATTTACATTACGATTCATAACAATAGCAAAATTACAGTTCCGAATTAGCAATTAAAATAATTTTATGGTTGGGGGTCACCACAACATGGGGAACTGTATTAAGGGGTCGCAGCATTCGGAAGGTTGAGAACCACTGCCTTAAAGCTTTTGTGTATGCTCCTCTGTCAGTTGCTTAGGCACCCATCTAGCACACAGTTTACTGAACTTAAGGCTATTGTGAATCAGGGCATAGGCTGATCCAACACTCACATTCAGCTTTCCTGCAACCTCGTTGACTGCTAGTCTTGTTTTCGTGAATCAGTTTCAGGGTCTTTCCTTCATTCCATGTGGTTGTGGCTGTAGCTCGACATCAGGAACACTCTATATTCGTCACACTAGATTTTTTAACATTTCAATCCACTCATAGGCAACTTTATCCCCATACTGAATGCACATGCAGAGATACATCTTTGCTCTTGGCACACCTTTTGACCACAATAAACGTAAGACAGAATGCTGTTCCTCTTTAGTGCAATAAGTTTCGCAGCCATTTTCACCACAGCATGACAACTTTTATACTAAACTGTCCCCTACCACATGTTGCTGTGGCCAGTCTGTGTATATATATATATTGTGTGTATATATGTGTGTGTATATACTTGTGTATATGTGCATATATGTGTGGTTGCATAGCTATACGGGTTTGCGCATATGTTGTAATGTAATTTTTGTTTTTTGGCCTTTTAAGTCCCTTCTGATGTGTTTTTCAGTGTTTTTATGAGTGATGGTCACTCGATAGCCTGAGAGGTGTATGTGTCCAAATTTGGTGTTAATTTGTCCAGTGGTTTTTTAGTTATGTTAATCCCACAAACGAATATTACATTTTTATTTATATAGACTGCAAGGTCAGCTGGCTTGTCAAATAGTCACATGATGCTCTCAAAAATGACATTACTAGTCCTCCTACCCTCACTATTTCCAACAAAAACATAGAAATGCAGAAACTTTTTGAAGATCCTTCATACATACTGTATATTTGTGTACACACACACACACACACACACAAATAACCTGACATCTGTAAAGAAGCAAAGATAATTAAATATAGAATAGGCATATAATTTGAATTACAAAGTTTCTGCTCTCCACACAACCTCTGAGGATGCTTGCCATAGATGCAGGCGAAACGTCAAGAGGGAATGCTTCTAGAACATGGCCATATAGCCCGAAAAACGTACAACCCAGTGATTCCAGCCATGAAAGCCTTCGACGATATCTTGATGACTCTTTAAGGAACTGAAACATGCTCCTATATATTGTGTCAAGATTTTAGGAAAGTTCTGTCTTTTTACCTGTTGTTCACTAATAAAGTTATATAGTTATTTTAGCATCAACAACTTTGTGTTGTGACTGGCTTTACTTATGTTATTATTGTTTCCTTGGATTTCTCAAAGAAAGTGGTTTTGTCCTAAGAAGGAGAAATAAATAGTAAGCAAGTACTTTGGAAAATAACCTGTATTAATCTTTGATACAGCAAAGGATGGTAAATTTAGATAGCATCTTGAAATAAAGCAAAGAAAATGGATCACGGGAAATAGCACTATATTTTTAAAATTGAAAAATATCTCAATTGCTATCTGTCGCCAACATGGCTGCGATTGCAGACCTCATGTCCTTGTCTTCCTGTGCCCTCGCATCATAATATACAGAGAAAGGCTCCTTTATACAGAGAAAGGCTCATTGGGTTGTTAGGGGTCTTGTGTCCAAATTTGGTGTCAATTCGTCCAGTGGTTTTTGAGTTCTGTTAATCCCACAAATGAACATTACATTTTTATTTATATAGATGTAGAGCAACGCAAGCTGAAACATCAGGTACAAAATTCTCCTCTGCTACAGAAAGTTGAGATGAAAGGCACCCCTTTCCACTATGTTTGAGAGAGGCTTTCCTCAGGATCTTCAACTTCATGGCTCAAGATGTGTCCCCTTGTTTTATATATATTACTAGCCATCCCCTGCCACGCGTTGCTGTGGCCCACATGGGAGTTCTGTGTGGGAGGTTTGGCCCATTTCTATCATTGGTGGTGTTCAGAATGCTCTGTGATTGTAGGTGAACTACAAATCCCAGCAACTACAACTCCCAAATGTCAAGATTCTATTTTCCCCAAACTCCACCAGTGTTCACATTTGGGCATATTGAGTATTCTTGTAGAGTTTGGTCCAGATCCATCATTGTTTGAGTCCACAGTGATCTAGGTGAACTACAACTCCAAAACCAAAGGACACTGCCCACCAAACCCTTCCAGTATTTTCTGTTGGTCATGGGAAACTGTGTGCCAAGTTTGGTTCAATTCCATCGTTGGTGGGGTTCAGAATGTTCTTTGAGTGTAGGTGAACTATAAATCCCAGCAACTACAACTCCCAAATGACAAAATCATATTTTTTTGAGTGAAGGACATACATTGGGTTGTTAGGGGTCTTGTGTCCAAATTTGGTGTCAATTCGTCCAGTGGTTTTTGAGTTCTGTTAATCCCACAAATGAACATTACATTTTTATTTATATAGATGTAGAGCAACGCAAGCTGAAACATCAGGTACAAAATTCTCCTCTGCTACAGAAAGTTGAGATGAAAGGCACCCCTTTCCACTATGTTCCTTGTCCAGTTCGGAGCATAAAGTCCCGTGTGCTCTCATCCAACTTGCCTCTATAAGGATTCATAAGCCAATATGGCAGTGGGTATGCTCTGTCTCCAAGGATCGGAAAAGTACCTCAACTCTGCTTATTGTCATTGTAGGATTCCCAGGGACAAAAGCCTGCATAGCCTGATACAAAGCAGGATGGTAGAAAATATGTGCACTCTAGTTTCTTCTGGATAATCCAATACTATATCTATGAAGTGTCTGAGACTTTCTTCCTGTTCAGGAACTCCTCTTCCCTTCCAGAGAGTGGACACACACCCATTAATTGCACTAATACAATGGGAAAATTCTAGTTCCTTGAAGCCATCCATGATCTATAAATGAAGTTAGGAAAGAGACAAGTCAGAATGGAAAAAAAACAGAATAAACAGACCTTGAAATCTCTTCTCAGAAGACATTCCAAGCCTTCCAGTATCTGTAAAAGCACAGACTTTCCAGTTCTATCATGAGGACCATCCAAACACCAGCACATTGTTGCTCTGACAAACTCTTATAAAAAATTTTCTTTCCATCCTGTATTAATGGCAATTAACATCCATTATTTCAAACAGCAAACTGGAAGATTTATTAAAAGTACTAGTAAGCAGTGTATTCTAGTTTAAATGTTGATTTCAACATCATATCCTAGTCATTTTTTTTTAATTCTTAAGGAAGCCATAAATTCAAGTTTTTCTTTTGTTTTGTTTTTTGTTGTGTCAGGAGCGACTTGAGAAACTGCAAGTCGCTTCTGGTGTGAGAGAATTGGCCATCTGCAAGGGCATTGCCCAGGGGACGCCCTGATGATTTGATGTTTTATTATCCTTGTGGGAGGCTTCTCTCATGTCCCTGTATGAGGAGCTGGAGCTGATAGAGGGAGCTCATCCGCCTCTCCCCGGATTCGAACCTGCGACCTGTCGGTCTTCAGTCCTGCCGGCACAAGGGTTTAACCCACTGCGCCACCGAGGGCTTCATAAATTCAAGTACTATATGGCTTGGCGATATTAAGCAGTACTCATAAATTAAAGTTGGAATGAAGCAGTAACTGTGTGGTATGAAAAATGTTTCTCCCAACACCTCCCCTATTCAACCCATTGAACCCATTCCCATGTCCCCCACTCCCAAAATAGGAAAACTTTTCTTTCTGCACACATTCACTCACTTGACTGACTGGAAGTGTCTCTTTCTCCTTACCTTTTGATGGCTGTTAAGCTGCACTGTCTTTCTAAGACGTTCTTTTTCTGTAGCCAAGCAAACTTTGATCTTGATCTCTGCAACCTTAGTTTCCAATTTTGGAATTAGCTGCCACTTTGTGGTAGAGCAGAGTGGAAAGCCACCATATAGCAATGGTCACCTTCTCCTCAATGCTTATGGCATCACGCATTATGGTCCTTGTCCACTCAAGATGTTGGCGCAGGATGCGTGCAATTTTATACAGTTGTCTTGGTCATCCTGATATTTTTCAACCACATGTCCTAGTCCTCTTCTCTTCACTAAAGCCTTCTTACAAAAGGTCTAATCCATCATTGCCCATACCAGGCAAGGACATCAGTCTCTGTTATTATGCAATCCACTGAATGCAAATGGAGGAGCCCTTCCACAATTCTTATTAAAACGTAGAGCAAGCCTTGGTCGTCTCCATAGTCACTCTAGCTCACTCTCATAGTACTCAATCAGTATATGGATCATAATGAGAAAATAGTACACCAGTGCCATGTTTTCTGCAAAAATGATTAAGATCCAGACAAAGGTAAACAAATCAAATCCGGAAATTATGTTCAGGGTCCCTTAGGACAGCGCAGAAGCCATTCCTTCGAAATGCTGCGACAGCGGTCTTCCAAAGTCTCAAAATTATGTAACTGCACAACATTTGAGAAAAAATGTTTTTAACAGAGAAGGCTCAGAGAAGTTCGGAGAAGTCAGCCATCTCCCATGTGATCAAAGCACCTTATTTTATTTGATACGGGGAGGAACCATGAGTGTAATCTGATTCATATGTATCCAGTCCTAAAAAAGTCACGGGTTGTCTATAGGAAAGGAGTCTCCAACTTTGAGTGTGATAAGGTCCCTGAATTCAATCCATTCTTTTTCATTAGATATACATAAACTGATTCTACCAAGCAGATATTTGCCGCATCTCCTGTTCTCTATTACACAGGAAGGAATACTTTGAAAAGATGGCACTTATACTGAAAATTAAAGATATATTTATGAACTTCTAGCCCAAGTACAGAGCATTTTTCCACCCGTGTTTTGAACTGATTAATCCTAAATTTCAGTCCTATTGCTAACTGAAAAGGGCTAGAAGAGGGTGGAAAACCGGGTGATCCTAAGATGAAAGATTTAGCAAGAGCAATTGTGGAGTTTGTTTCCAAAACATACCAAATCCATCTAACAAATGTTACATGAATCGAAAAAAGGGAAAAAAAACATGCTGAGAGTATGCAATCAAAGTGATCTTGGTTATTCTTTGCTCCTATTTTCTTTCTATGCCAAACATCATATGTATGTATGCATGTATGTATGTATATGTGTGTGTGTGTGTGTGTGTGTCTGTCTCTCTTTCTATACACACACACGCACGCATATACACACACACACCTTTTTATTATGGAATTATTCAAGAAACAAATTTGGATTTGGTACCTTTTGGAAATACATTTGGATTTGGTACCTTTTGGAATAAATCTACAATTTTAAATGCATGCAGAAGTAATTCTATTAAACAATATGTTATATTATTCATTGTGTTATTTAACAGCAAGTATTCTATTCTAAACAGTTAACTTTTCAGGGTTGGTGTGAGTTTTCCATGTTCCAGAAGTATTATCTCCTGATGTTTCACCCACATCTATGGTAGGCATCCTCAGAGGTTGTGAGGTCTGTTGGAAACTAGGCAAATGGGATTATATATCTGTGGAATGTCCAGGGTGGGAGAAAGAACTCTCATCTGTTGGAGGCAGGTGTGAATGTTGCAATTGGCCATCTTGATTAGCATTGAACAGCCTTGCCTGGCTGCTTCCTGCCTGGGGGAATCCTTTGTTGGGAAGTGTTAACTGGCCCTGATTGTTTCTTGTTTGGAATTCTTTGAAACTGCAAGGTTTCAATGCTAATCTTGCCTCACACTTGCCTCAAATAGACAAGAGTTCTTTCTCCCATCCTGGACCTTCCACAGATATATAAACCCCACTTGCCTAGTTTCTAACAGCTAAATGGTGTAACATTAGAAAATGTTGACCATTTCCGCTACCTTGGCAGCCACATCTCCTCCAAAGTAAACATTGACACTGAAATACAACACCGCCTGAGCTCTGCGAGTGCAGCATTTTTCTGAATAAAGCAGAGAGTATCTGAGGACCAAGACATTTGTAGGGATACCAAGGTGCTTGTTGATAAAGCTATTGTCCTCCCAACCCTGCTATATACCTGCGAAACATGGACTGTCTATAGACGTCACATGCAACTCCTGGAACGATTCCATTAGTGCTGCCGTCGGAAAATCCTGCAAATCTCTTGGGAAGACAGGCGGACAAACATCAGCGTGCTGGAAGAAGAAAAGACCACCAGCACTGAAGCGATGGTCCTCTGCCATCAACTCTGCTGGACCGGCCATATTGTCTGGATGCCCGACCACCATCACCCAAAGCAGTTGCTCTACTCCAAACTCACGAACGGAAAACAGAATGTTGGAGGACAGAAAAAGAGATTTAAAGATGGGCTCAAAGCCAATCTTAAAAACTCTGGCATAGACACTGAGAACTGGGAAGCCCTGGCCCTTGAGTGCTCCAGCTGGAGGTCAGCTGTGACCAGCAGTGCTGTAGAATTTGAAGAGGCGCCAATGGAAGGCGAAAGAGAGAAACCTGCCAAGAGGAAGGTGCCAAGCCAACCCCGACCGAGACCACCTTCCACCTGGAAACCAATGCCCTCACTGCGGGAGAAGATGTAGATAAAAAATAGGGCTCCACAGTCACCTATGGACCCACCAGAACACTGATCCTGGAAGACTATCCTACTCGGCCAACGTGGGATCGCCTAAGAAAGAAGGTAAAGTAAGTTTCTAACAGACCTCACAAGCTCTATGGATGCCTGCCATAAATGTGGGCGAAACGTCAGGAGATAATGCTTCTGGAATATGGCCATACATCCAGGAAAACAAACCGCAACCCAGTGAGTCCAGCCATGAAAGTCTTCGACAACACAATTTAAAAGACAGGTCACTTTTCCGTTAACACATATTCTTTTTCTCTGCACAACGAACACAATTATATTATTCAGTCATCATAAAAAATGAGGTATTTTCATCATCACTTTCTTGTACGTCTGTATTACCCTCTACAATGTTTTTGTAAAATGGCAACTGGTTTATATCTTTGTACCCCATGGCGACTAGCAGTGCCATCACATCTTTCTTTTTTGCCTCCTGAACGTGACTCTTGCACTGAACTTCCTTTAAGTTTCCAACAACAAGATCATACTTCAATCCTTGCCTTATCATGTTGTGTTGACAGACAGGTTTCACACTATAAGCCGCATGAAGCCCGACCAAACCCATCTTTGCCTGAATCATCAGTCTTTTAGCCTCACTAATGTTGAATCTTTTTGTGTCTGGTGCCGAATATTGTGCTACTTCTTGCCAGTTCACCCATTTAAAATCTGATCCTAGAATGTGAATTGTCCCAATGCTCTTAAATACTGCATCATACTTTTCAGGGAAAAGGATAGTTTTAATTTTTCTAAGTCTTTTCTCAACAATGCCAAATGACCTGTCTGCGGGCATATAGGAATGGCCACAGACAGAAAAAAACCACTCAATTGTAAAACTATACTGAGATGCAATTACACAAAACATGAACAACAAGCAGTAGCTCTTATTCTGAGAAGCACAACTATCACAAAACACTCTGATGGACTTGATTTTCTTAGCATCACAGTACGGCTTCAGATAGGTAGTGAAGAAATGCCATAAACAAGAACTAATTTCCGAAGGACCTCTACCCCCTTCGCTCTCAAGCCACCTATAAAAATGAGTGGTTTCGGGAGAAATACTTTTGTCCTCTCTGTGAATTATAATACCCAAAGTGTAGTACCATAGTTGCTTAGAATAGTAGGCTTGGCTTATCTGAGTTTTGGGAAGAGGCTGAATTTGCATCAGATCAAAGTTAATCGTCACAGAATCTGGTGGAAATTCATTCAGATGTTGAAAGAAAGCTTTCACTCTGTGTTTATGAAGAAGTTTTTCTACAACAATACTTTTCTTCCGCTCATCTTCTATGACGCCTTTTAAACACGCAGAGAGGGCATGGCAGTGATAGCAGGCATCCTGTTTTACAGATCCAAAGCCTAGATTAAATTTTGTGACAAAAACCTTGTAGTAGAGTGCATAAGTGCAGTAAGGAGAGCTTCCACTGGCAGCTGTTGCTTTCTGTTTACAAAACATACTCCACATCTGACCGACGTTCAAAGTTGAAGGCAGGTATTTCTTCAGGGGTGTCTTACCACATCCCCAATGCTGTTCTCTACACTGGAAACTTTGAATATGTGCTTGTATTTCCTCACAAAGTCCTTGTAAATTAGTACGTAACCTCATTCCACCACGAGTTTCTGGAACGGCACTCCCGTAATGTCTTTTTTCTTCGGCTGCGTTTTCTACTTTTCTTCTGCCAACATTCAAAATAGACAAAAATGTCTTTCTACACACCGGCACATTTCCCTCTGTAGTTGGAATATGGTAAATTATTGTTTTATTCTTACACGAGCCCTCTTTATTACCTTGATTTGGCCTTTGTCTTTCTGGTGTTTTGACATCGATTAGAGATAGAATGAAATTTCGTTGACTAACTGCATCTTTGTTTTTCCAGTATTGAACGTTTACATTGCTGATATGTTCATCTGTCAGCTTTAAAGCCACACAAAAGGCAGTATCATGATGACAGTCTATCTTTGCTTTCTTTGAAGCGTGCTGATTGTACCTTTCTTCCTTTTGTTTATTTCGTTTCCATGTTTGCACCGACCAATTTCTCTTCCGAGACTTATTTGTAGGAACAGCTTGTTCCATAGACTCGTCTGATATATTATTATCCATTGGAAAAACTCATACTAAACACCGAAACTAGTATCAAAGCTGCACATTTCTATATCACAGCAGCCACTACGTAAACATACAAGGAAGTGACATCACTCCACCAATGGGATACTAGAACAGCTTGTGAAATAATCATATGGTCGTGAAATTCCACCAGTGAAATTCAAACAGGATTTGGAAACTTTTTGGCATCAAACACTGACTTGATGCAGTACTTCTTGCTCTGTGTGTGATTTAGTACATTTTGGGAATTTTAGTTTCTGCATAATATTCCACCCCTAACAAACAACATGCTGCTGCCACTTATGACTCATTTTCCCATTTTGGTGAATTCGGGACCTTTTGAAAACAAACTCCACAACTGTATTTTCATGGTGAGTGAGGTTATGAATAGTGAAGTAATGTATAAGAACGCTGTATTTGAAAATAATTTAATGTATCATTCAAATATACACTTTCAGAGTACATTCTAAAGGGCTGCTGCCCTTTTAAACACTTAATAAGAATGTACACTTCAGAGAGAGACAAAATCAGTTAAGTCAGAAAGATTGATGTCTAACATTGTAGTGTTAAGCAAGGCAAACAACATGAATTACATGTGCTGCAGTATACTGTATACCATATCTAAAAAGTCTCCAGTGAAATGACTTAAGACCTGCAACTTTTACAGAGTTACAAGGAAGCAGAGAGCACTGCGAGAAGGTCATTTTCATGGTACCCAAATCATTTGCTCTTTAAGAATCTTTCTTCTTGATGATGAGAGGTCCCACATTGTCTCCTGTTTCATCATTATGCTTTGTGTGGGAACCATCGCACAGTGGGAACTGTAGGGGAGGAAAAACATACAAAGTAGCCTTAAATGCACATTTTCTTTAGCAAAACAATAAAAAAATTATAATCACTCATAAACATCAAAACCCAAGAAAGCAACACTTTCAATCAAGGCCACCATCACTTAAGGAAGCCATAAATTCAAGAACTATAGGGATTGGAAATATTAAGCAGTACCAATAAATTAAAACTGGAAAGAAGCAATAACTGTATTCGGCCCCCGGGCCTTAGTTTGAGGACCCCTGTTCTATAGGCATTCTCTCCTGACGTTTTGCCTGCATGTATGGCAAGCATCCTCACTACCTCTGAGGATGCTTGCCATAGATGCAGGCGAAACGTCAGGAGAGAATGCCTCTAGAACATGGCCATATAGCCCAAAAAAACCTACAACAACCCACTTTTTTATTCATCTTTTTAGCCACAAGTTCAAAGTTCAAAAGGTTGATGAGAGAGAGAAAAGAGGAACACATACTAAATGTGACAATTGTTTTTAAGTTGAACGGTCTTAATAGATGAGCACAGCTTCTCATACAGGAAAAGTTGCTCTGAAAATCATTGTTGGGACCAACCGAGCAGGATTCTTTCAGCACTACTTTCTACAGAAATCATTGTGATCTTCTGCAAAATTGCTTTAGAACAGCGGTTCTCAACTTGTTGGTCTTATCATTCACCTCAACACTTTTGATGTCTATTGATTGTTGCACTTTCTTTGCACTCCCTTCAGGATGTATTGCATTCATAGAGCCTGAACTTTAGCTATGTTATTTTTCACAGCCATATTGTTTAATTGTGATTGTTTTTATATTTTATCTGATTTTTTTTAATTGATTGTGTTTTCTTTTTAAGTTTTGGGCTTGTCCCTTGTAAGCCGCCCTGATTCTCCTTGGGGAGATGGTTGGCGGGGTATAAAAATAAATTATTATTATTATTATTATTATTATTATTAATTTATTTTACTGACACAAAAACACAGTATGTCACAGCAAATGAGATCTACATGCTGGATTTCGTATCACAAAATCACAAGTCGAACACTTCCCAAGCATCTAGGACTGTGTGATGTATTTTTGAATGATGCCTGCAGATCCAAGTAAGGTGGCCTTTTGCAGTTGACAGATCGTGATTTTGTCAATGTTTATTGTTTCCAAATGCCGGCTGAGATCTTTTGGCACGGCACCCAGTGTGCCAATGACCACTGGGACCACCTGTACTGGTTTATGCCAGAGCCTTTGCAGTTCAATTTTGAGGTCCTGATAACAGCTGAGTTTTTCCTGTTGTTGTTATTGTTGTTATTTGGCTCTCAACTCTCAGAAATCCTAACAGCTGGTAAGCTAGCAGGGATTTCTGGGAGTTGTGGGCCAAAACACCTGAGAACCCACAGGTTGAGAACCATTGCTTTAGAACAAGAAGTTACGCAAATTGGACATTTTCTTTTTTTACCTTCTTAGACCTCCAACACCGGCAATACACAGCTTTGTCCCCCAAATCTTCCATATCAAACGCATGAACTACTTTCGGGTTATCTTTCTGAATATGGACGTTTACCATCCCACTACAGCATTTGTCCTTGCTAAAGAATTTTTTGTAAGCGAGATATCCAACTGCTGCTGCTCCTGCCGCAAATGAGACTGCTACAACCCATTCAACTGAAAGAGAAAAAAAAATGAAAAACTGTCAAAGGTATTCAAGTACAGGTTACTGCTAACATGTAATTACTGTTTTAAAAGCTTGCCATTTCTAATATTTTTTTATTTTCTTCTTAAATACAGATCATGGCTTCTATCTGTATAATTTAGTATGAATACACTGGAAGCAATACTTTTTCACATTTACAGTGGAATCTAACACATATATATTCAGATACAGGTGTAGTTGAATACATCTAAATTTTACTCCCAATATCTCAACATAGTAATTAAGAAAAAAATGATTGGTTTTTAAATTCTGCACACTTTTCCCATATTGGCGCTATAGCACCTAAGGGAAACTGGTTAGTATTGATTTATACCAGGCACGGAAAACTTGGGCCCTCCGGGTGTTTTGGACTACAACTCCCCACAATTCCTGTAGGAGTTGAAGTCCAAAACACCTGGAGGGCCCAAATTTGCCCGTGCCTGATTTATATGGTATTGATATATAGGCCCTCAACCAGATAATAATAATAATAATAATAATAATAATAATAATAATAATATTAATCCTTATTTATACCCTGCCACCTTCTCCCCCAACGGGGGGAGAAGGAAAATAGGTTTATATATCTGTGGAATGACCAGGGTGGGGCAAAGAACTCCTGTCTGTTGGAGCTAGGTGTGAATGTTTCAACTGACCACCTTGATTAGCTACCTTGTCGTCTAGCTATTGTAATTTTAGAGGTTTTTTTTAATACTGGTAGCCAGATTTTGTTCATGTTCATGGTTTCCTCCTTTCTGTTGAAATTGTCCACATGCTTGTGGATTTCAATGGCTTCTCTGTGTAGTCTGACATGGTGGTAGTTAGAGTGGTCCAGCATTTCTGTGTTCTATATTCAGCTGCTATCCAACTGCTGCTGCTCCTGATATCCAACTGCCGCTCCCGATATCCAACAGAACACAGAAATGGAAACAAACAAGGACATCTAATCACCTCTCAACAAAAATTGCCCCAGGCACTGCCAGGCCATCAAATGCTAATCAAGGTGGTCAGTTGAAACATTCACACCTAGCTCCAACAGACAAGAGTTTTTTGTCCCACCCTGGTCATTCCACAGATATATAAACCCATTTTCCTAGTTCCAACAGACCTAACTACCTCTGAGGATGCTTGCCATAGATGCAGGCGAAACGTCAGGAGAGAATGCCTCTAGAACATGGCCATATAGCCCGAAAAAAACCTACAACAACCCAGTGATTCCGGCCATGAAAGCCTTCGACAATACAATAATAATGATAATCTTTCCATGCAGCCATTTTAAAAAATATAAGGTAAAGGGGTTATATGAGTGCAGCAATCAGGAGTGCCTTTGGATGCATCCGCACTGTAGAAATAGTGCAGCTTGACACCACCTTAGCAATACTATGGAATCCTAGGAGTTGTACTTTGGTGAGGCACCAGCACTCCCTGACAGGGAAGACAAAAGGCCTTGTATAACTACAACCCACGATTCCATAGCATTGAGCCACTGCAGTTAAAGTGGTGCCAAACTGCATTCATTCCATAGCGTAGATGCACCTTTTGTTCTCAACACAGAAGCATACATGGAGCAGAAAGTCAAGCCAGTGGTTAAGGGAAAGCACCGACCATGGAAAAGTCCAGCCCTGCCCCAGGGCTCTCTTCCAAAACAAACAGGTGTGACAAATGTGTCAAAGCTCCACCTGATACATGCAAACATAGAAGGCTGCCTGGGAGCACTGCTGTGGCTGCTGCACAACATGCTGCCTGAGAGTAGCAATTTGTCCCATTCAAAGGTGTGCAAAATAGCTGGTTGTAAAACTATTTTTAATGCATGCTTTCTTTTCTTTACGAATACGTCTTCTGCAATGCAAAAATTGCCTCCTAGGGCAGGGGTCCTCAAACTAAGGCCCGGGGGCCAAATATGGCCCTCCAAGGTCATTTACCCGGCCCTCACTGAGGGTCAACTTAAGTCTGAAACTACTTGAAAGCACACAACAACAATCCGATCTCATCAGCCAAAAGCTGGCCCACACTTCCCATTGAAATACTAATAAGTTTATATTTGTTAAAATTGTTCTTCATTTTAATTATTGTATTGTTTTAAAGTGTTTTTTGCACTACAAATAAGATATGTGCAGTGTGCATAGGAATTCATTCATGTGTAAGCATCCTCAGAGATAGTGAGGTCTGCTGGAACTAGGAAAAGGGGGTTTATATATCTGTGGAATGACCTGGGTGGGACAAAGGACTCTTGTCTGTTGGAGCTAGGTGTGAATGTTTCAACTGACCACCTTGATTAGCATTTGATTGCCTGGCAGTGCCTGCAGCAATCTTCTGGGCAGGGCCAAATTCAGGATAAAATTTTAAAACACTGGGAGATAGGACAATGTCAAACATCGGAGGGGGGTCTGGGGATGAGGAAGGATTTAATTGCACGAACCATAAATAAAGTGCTACTGAGGTCATTTAGTGCAAAGTTTTTGGTCAGGGAGTACCTTACGTTCAATCACTGAAGGCACATTGGAATAACCAAGTTTTCAGATTCTTCCTGAAGATTGCCAGCGTAGGGGCTTGCCTAATGTCTTTGGGAAGTGAGTTCCAGAGTCAAGGGGCCACCACAGATTAGGCCAGGGGTCCACAAACTTTTTAAACAGAGGGCCAGGTCACCGACCCTCAAACTGTTGGAGGGCCGAATTATAATTTGAAGAAGAAAAAAAAGAATGAATTCCTATGCACACTGCACATATCTTATTTGTAGTGCAAAAACCACTTTAAAACAATACAATAATTAAAATGAAGAACAATTTCAACAAATATAAAATTATTAGTATTTCAATGAGAAGTGTGGGCCTACTTTTGGCTGATGAGATAGGATTGTTGTTGTTGTTGTGTGCTTTCAAGTCATTTCAGACTTAGGTTGACCCTGAGCGAGGGCCGGGTAAATGACCATGGGAGGTCGCATCCGGCCCCCAGGCCTTAGTCTGAGGACCCCTGGATTAGGCTCTCTCTCTCATCCCCGCAAGTCGCACTTGTGATGCAGGCGGGAGCGAGAGAAGAAAGAATAGAGGGGTAGCATGACTTCCCTGGATTTAGACACTATACTATTGACGCAGGCCAAAATCCCATTGGCAAATGGTGTGATTCTCTTTAAATATTCACATTCTGCATGCTTTTCACTATGTGGTTTTTAAAGGGCCCTTCTACACTGCCAGATCATCCAGAATATCAAGGCAGATTTTTTTTGTCGTGTCAGGAGCGACTTGAGAAACTGCAAGTCGCTTCTGGTGTGAGAGAATTGGCCGTCTGCAAGGATGTTGCCCAGAGTGACGCCTGGATGATTTGATTTTTTTTTATCATCCTTGGGAGGCTTCTCTCATGTCCTCGCATGAGGAGCTGGAGCTGATAGAGGGAGCTCATCCGCCTCTCCCTGGATTCCAACCTGCGACCTGTCGATCTTCAGTCCTGCCGGCACAGGGGTTTAACCCACTGCACCACCGGGGGCTCATAACCCACATTATCTGCTTTGGATCATCTGAGTCTACACTACCATATCATTCAATTCAAGGCAGATCATCTGGATTTTAAACAGCTGTGTCAAGGGGGCCTTTGGATCCTTCCAAACAGCCATGTAACACAAAATATCAAAGCAGATCATAGAATCAAAGAGTTGGAAGAGACCTCATGGGCCATCCAGTCCAACCCCCTGCCAAGAAGCATGAATATTGCATTCAAATCACCCCTAACAGATGGCCATCCAGCCTCTGTTTAAAAGCTTCCAAAGAAGGAGCCTCCACCACACTCCGGGGCAGAGAGTTCCACTGGTGAACGGCTCTCACAGTCAGGAAGTTCTTCCTCATGTTCAGATGGAATCTCCTCTCTTGTAGTTTGAAGCCATTGTTCCGCGTCCTAGTCTCCAGGGAAGCAGAAAACAAGCTTGCTCCCTCCTCCTGGCTTCCTCTCACATATTTATACATGGCTATCATATCCCCTCTCAGCCTTCTCTTCTTCAGGCTAAACATGCCCAGCTCCTTAAGCCGCTCCTCATAGGGCTTGTTCTCCAGACCATAGGGCTTGTTCTCCAGATCATCCACAATATCTGCTTTGAACTGGATCATTTGAGTCCACACTGCCATATAATCCAGTTCAGTGTAGATTTTATACAGCTGTGTGGATGCTGTCTAAGTTAGGAGGCAAAAAAGTTTTTTCCTCGCAGGCACGTGACTGGAAGGTGGCTGGGTGCATAAGACCGTGAGAAAGGAAAAACCCTGAAGGTCATACACAGCAAGGCCCTGAAAGGAGCCAACAAAACGGTGTTCTCCCTAATGCAAAAGCTAGGCTGCTCCTTCAAACGGTAAGGGCCTCGCCCACCCTTCGGGAATATAACGTGGGCATGCAGACAAGAGGAAGGGCCTCCTCCCCTTCAGAGGGCAACAGGTCCCAAGTTGGCCCCAATCTGGCAAAGGCGTGCAGGACACTAGGCCAGGCTTGCAGAGACAATGGGCACGCGCGCATGCGCACTCTTACCCCGCACGGACCCATTCGCCGCGAGGCCCATACTGTCAGTCCCCGATGGCGTTGTTGTCTCGCGGCCGCCCCGGATTGCAAAGGACACGCGAGGGGGGGGGGGGGGCGCGAAGGAAGTGGCGTCAGGTTTCCCCGCGCCTGCGCACTACTGATCTCAATATGGCGGCCCTGAACTTCTGCCCTTAAAGGGGCATAGCGAGAATTAGAATTAGAGAATTAGAGCAGTTTGACCTCACTTAAACCAGCCTAGGGGAATCTATTGAGCCTCTTGCTATTAAAGTAGTGTCAAAAGTGCTATTACTGATAATGAAGACTTAAGGCCCTTCCAGGCAAGCCCAATATCCCAGGATCTGATGCCAGGTTTTCTGTTTATCCCAGATTATCTGGCAGTGTGGACTCATAGAATCCAGTTTAAAGCAGAAAACCTGGTATCAGATCCTGGGACACAGGGGCCACAGCCTTGGCCTTGCAATCTGCCAATGTAGTTTGATTCCACCACTTTCACAGCTATGGCTCAAGGCTATGGCACCATGGGAGGTGTAGTTTTACAATTCAAAGTGCTGGTAGGTAAAGGTAAAGGTAGTCCCCTGACATTAAGTCCAGTCATGTCTGACTCTGGGGGTTGGTGCTCATCTCCATTTCTAAGCCAAA